GCCATCTGTGCGCCCGCGGGGGCCGCTTTGGGGGCCGCGCGGGCGCCCCTGGGGCCCCCGGAGCGGCCAGGAGCAGATCCGTGGTCGCGGTTCCGGGGCCGCCCGCGGCCTGCTCCGAGGCCTCCGCCGCCCCCCGGCGTCTTGCCACAAGCGTGCCCGGCGTGCGGGATCCCATGCTCGGCTTGGTTTTCAGTCGGGCGTGTCCCTCTACAGATGGCCCTTGCGGCCTCCAAGATCGCTCCATAGCGGCCCAGGAGGCCCCCAAGAGGGCCACAAGAGGGCCTTCAAGAAGGCCAATATGGCCTTCAAGACGGCCCTGGAGCACCCCTCAAGGGCGCCACGTCGGCCCAGAGAGGCCCCCAAGACGGCTTCAGACGGCGTCAGACGGCGTCAGGAGGCCACCAAGACGGCCCAACATGGCTCAAAGATGGCCCAAGACGGCCCAATAGGCCCCAAAGAGTTCTCCAAGACGGCCCAAGGAGGCCTCCAAGACGGCCTCCAGGAAGGCCCGAAGAAGCCGAAATCATTGATTGTCCTTTGGTGTTCGACGGACTTCAGCATTTGCTTCTTTTCTGGCCTTCCGACGGCCCGAGACGGCCCAAGAGCCCCCAAGATCGCCCCAAGATCGCCCAAGAGGCCTCCAAGATGGCCCCAGAACTGCCGAAGAGACCCCAAGACGGTCCCAAGAGGGCCCAAGACGGCCCAAGAGGCCTGGAAGACGCCCAAAATGGCCTCCAGAAAGGCCCTCAATACGGCGTCCGACGGCGTCAGATGGGCCACGAATGCCCAAAGACGGCCAAAGAGGCCACCGAGGCCCCTAGGAGGCCCCTAGGAGGCCCGCAAGATGCCTCCAAGAGGCGCACAGGAAGCGTCCAGGAGGCCCCAAGAGTGCCCCTAGAGGCTCCCAAGATGCCCATGCATGTACACATATGCATGCATGTATGTATGTACGTAGGTAGATCGACAGGTCGGTGGGAAGGTAGGTAGCTAGGTTGCTAGGCAGGTGTATGTTTGCAGATGTGCTGTATGCGTGCTTGCATGCATGCATGCATATATGCATGCATGATTGTATGATTGTATGTATGTATGTATGTATGTATGTATGTATGTATGTATGTATGTATGTATGTATGTATGTAGGTATGTTTGTTTGTATCTATGTATGTATGTATGTATGTTTGTTTGTTTGTTTGTTTGTATGGTTGTATGTGTGTTTGTATGTTTTATGTATGGATGCACGTGTGTATGTATGTACGCATGTATGTACGTGAGTATGGATGTGTGTATGGATGAATGCATGCATGTATGCGTGTGTGTCTACATAAGTGCATGTGTGTATGAATGCATCCATGGATGCATGGATACACGCAAGTATGTATGTACGTATGCGTACATGGATATATGCAAATATATACATATATATATGCATATATATATATATATATATGTGTATATATATACGCACATACATACGACTGCATGTAGGTATGTAAATGTGCGTGCGTGCATGCATGCATGCATGATTATATGCATGCATGCATACATGTGTGGGTGTATATGTATGTGCGTGTATGTAGGCATGGATACATGTATGGTTGTATGCACGTGCAGACGTATACGTGTATGTATGCATGCATGTATGTGTGCATGCATGGGAGTCTGCATATATATATATATATATATATGCATGTATGTATGCATGCATGCATGCATGCATGTATGTATGTGTGTATGGATGTGTATCTATAACTACTATATGTCTGTATGTATACATGTGTACATGGTTGGGCCCCATGGGTACAACACAAGTATATCAAATCATCGTATCAGTATCGGCCCCCGAGATCCTGGAGTATCGGTTTCTAGCTGGTGGGTATGGATAAATCTCTGCCTTATATAGATGCTGTGCAGGCGACGATTGTCCCACACGGACCACGTCCGCGGCGACACCGACAGCGAGCCCTGCTCAAAATGGGCAGGCGCTGCTGCAGGTCTTCATCCCGTTCGTGCCATCCCAATTTTTCGGGTCGGACGAGTCATGGGGGGGATAACTAAACGGAGGGTCGTCAATCGGCCGCATGCAGCTGGTTTCCTAGCGCGCTGGAAGCGACCATGCATCGAAGAACGCCCTGCACGGCGGGGCCGACACCAGGTGCATGCTGGAGACTTCGTACACCGGACCTCCCGATCCCCCTCTTCCTGGCCCTCTTGGGACGCTGCACCCGTCGCCCAGCCGTCCAACCCGCCAGTGGAGAAAACGAGCCATCTGCAGGAGCAGAAACTTCCGGACCCCCGCGCGGATATCTTGGATCGGCGCTGGACCAATTCCGCGCTGGAGGCACCGCTGGAAAGAAAGCCCAATGCCGAGACGAGACATCCGCGCGGACCTCTGGAAACTCACTGATAATATGCAATGTGATGTTCCTCGATTAGGCGCGGTGCCAACCTTCGCCCGACCGGGCTTCCGTACTTCAATGTCCATACACCACCCATGCATCGGCGACGTTGGCGATGCATCGGCGACGTCTGCGTGAATAATGTTAACCTCCGCATCGAGCCGTATCGGCGCTGCATCGGCGCTGCGGCGCGACCATCCGACCCCATCAGCTGCGACCCCATCGGGGAGGCCTAGACGATAGTAGTGGGGGGCGATGAAATGGGGAAGACACGCGCGCCTTCCGTGCCCAGGAGGGTCCCTCTAGGGCCCTTGAAGTGCACGAGAGGCACACTTTTCTTCACCCCTCCCCCTTTCATCGCTCCCCCCTCGCGATCACCCGACCCCATCAACTCCGACCCCATTGGGGAGGCCCAGATTCTAGATCCGACCACCCCCCCTTTGACGGTGCGCGGCGGCGGCTCGCGCAGCCGCCTGAAGGCCGGCGCCTCGCCTGGCGGGCGAAGGGGGCGCTCGCCGCGCGAGCGCGCGCGGGGCGACAGCCAGCACGATCGGCATGTGCACGAAAGGGCTCATCAGCGGGCCGCTGACGAGGCAACACAACATTTGAACTACGAGGGAAACAGCTCTTACACAAGATGTCGTAGCGACCTGCCGCGGTGGCCTCCGCGGGCGGCCAGCGCGGCACGCTACATGTGAGATGAGGGCGCCCATGCGCGACTTTCCGCGGCCAGCCAACGCGCCAATGTCGGCGAAGACGACCCCGTGCCTCGTCGCCCCTTGGTTGTTCGGCATCGTGCGATTTTTTGTCCGCAGTCATTTCGGGCGCGCTAGGAATAGAGGGGGTGACAGCATGGAGGCGAGCGGATGACCCTCGATCGATCGGCCAATCGATCGACCGATCGATCGGGCGATCGATCGATCGAGTGAACGACAGATCGGCTGTGGCCCGAAAGGCTGGGCGCTCGACCGCAAGATCGCCCAAGCCTCCTTGGCTCGTGGCCCACCCCCGTGCACTCGCGCCCTCGTGGCTCGTGGCCCACTCGCTGCCTCATGGCCCACCTCGCCCCCGTCTCGACCTCGCTTCCAGGCCGTGGCTGGGCAACGCCGCGGCCGCGGCCGCGGGGCAAGGCTTGTGCCGTTTCTTTTCCCATCTTGGACCGAGGAAGGAACGCTGCAGAATACGGCGTCAACGTTCGGAATTCCACACGGACTTCTTTGGGTCGGCGCTGGGCACCCCTGGCGGCGCCTCCGGCGCCGCCCTGGGCGCGCGGAGCGCGCCTGGAAGGCGGGGCCAGTGCAGGTATAAGAAACCCGCGCGGACTTCCGACAATTATGTTTACGCCTAACTTATGCCGTCGTGCTGATGGAGACGGGCAAGCTGACGGAAGCCATCACAGGAGACTCCGAGCACCCTTGCGTCGGCTAAGCGCAGGATGACACTAGGCAAGAGGCAAGCGTGACCCTTGATGGGGGGTGCTGGGTCAAAGAATAGCCTGGCGAGGAAACCATGTCATTCTACGCGAATGGAACCTATATCTATCAGCAAAACCGCTCAATGCACAAGAGCTCTTTGAAAGGGTTTCGCAGTACCCCAGGAATTCCGCCAGATAACATCGGAACAAGTTCGGCACGCGCTCGCGCGACTCAAGTCACACACGGACTGTTAACAATGCACACGGCGCGGAGCACGAGGGCAGGGGCAAAGGGAGCAAGAGGAATGATGAGTTCAGGAACGGCTAAGAGCTCCAGCGCAGCGCGTGAAAGATCGGGCAGGGGGCGGCGCGACTGCGCCCCGAGCCCACGGGCGGCCGTTCTGACCCGCGCACTCCCGACAAAAACACCCTTGGCGAGGCACAGCTGCCGAACACCACCCAGCGCCTCCAATGGCACCGAAAACTCAATCAAAAACAATCCAAAACCTTAGTCCCGTTTTTGTTTGGGACGTGGGTTAGAATCAAACGCAAACTCCCAGGCAGCAACAGGACGGAACGAACGAAGGCCCCGAAACTGCGACCGAGCGATGGCCAGAGAAAAGACACGACGGCGGAGGGACAGCGACCGAGCGAACAACCGAGGCCTGAGCCCCGCCCTTGGAGCGCCGAACAAAAAACCCGAGAACACCGTTGAAAACCTCCTAGATCCTCCGAAGTCAGAAGCGTTGCCCCTCAGCCGATCCCCCGTAACGTTATCCCCTGATGTTCTCCTGCCCCTACGTCGGCGTCGCCGCCGCCGCCGCAGTCGCAAGACGAAGCCAGGACGAGAATCACGTCGGGTGAGGACACATTTAGAACCTCTGAGGTCCTGCGGCTCTGGAGGATGTCTCGGGCGCCGCGGCCGTCTCAGAGCGATGCGGAACGCTCTGGAACGGCTTCATCCTCCTCCTGCCCCCGCCCGACCCCGCTGCATCGAGGGGTCCGTGGGCAGCGCGCCCTCCAGCTCCAGGGCCCTCGGGGACCTCGAGCTCGCCCTCGGGTCCGTCGGCAGCACGCCCCCGGCCCCGTCCGAAGTCGCTTTTTCACGGGGTGCCGGGGCAGACCGCCGCGCCGAGCCTGTCTCACCCGTATGTTCACCGGCGGCGCCGAGGGCGCCGCGGCGCGCCCGGTCACGCGCCACCCACGCCCAGCTCCACGAGGCGGCGGACCAGTTGTGCCTCGGGTGGGGTGGGGGGGGATACCCCGCCTCGAACCGATGCCTATCCCTGAGATCGGCAATCCCGAGGCGATGGCGATCTGAGGGATGTGTTCTCGGAAGCGGAGGGAGTCTTTCAGATCGGGGCCGAGGTACGGTGATGCCCAACATTGGGATAGGGATATGCTTCAAGCTGGTAGGGAAAAGTGAAGAGGAGGAGAGGGGGGGCGAAGAGCTAGGTTCAAATCGAAAACGTCCTGGGCGTGTTGCTCAGCATATGTTCGTTGGGCTCTCGACAGGCTGAAGACGCCGCTTCGGCGTTCTATTTGGAACAGTTGCTCAGCGTTTTCTGTCTCATCGCAACTTCTATAGATAGGGCGGCGGCTGAAACAAGTTTCCTTGCGCAGAGCTGAAAGCCGCAAAAACACAATAACAGAAGAAACACTTCTGGCTCTGGTCTGACACCGGTGCGAAACAGGACTGGAGACCCACAACCCGTTCGCGGCAGGTGCTGACGATGGAAGTCAACATACCCGCAAACACAAGAGCAGCCCAACGTTTGTTGGTGTTTTCGATTCTCTGGTTGAGACCTGGAAACGCTAAAACAAATAGTTTCCAAGACGCCGAGCTGCAACCGCTAAAAGCACACAGGGCGCATTAAAAATGAAACAAGGCGAAAAGGGAGGATGGAAGAGAAGGAAGATGAGGAGTCCTCGAGGAAAGAAGAGCGAGGACCGAGGGGACGAGACGAGGGGAGGAGGGGAGGATGGAGGCACGGGCAGGCAAGAACGAAAGGGGAAGAGATGGAGGTGATGGATGCCGGACGCTGGCCGAGCCACGCGGGCATCTGGCGCACGGCGAGGACTGGCGATGCCAACACGGTGCGGCGACAGACCCTGCTCTGGCCTCGGAATCCCTCTAAGTACCTCACCGCACGGTCTGTCACCGCACCGCGTTGGGACCTCGGAGGTTCCAGTCGCCGAGACATCCTCGGAGAAGGGCCCAAGTCCCAAAACTGTGGTCACCCCGGATCCCCGCTGACTCACCACAGAGTGCGGTCATCACACCGTTTTGGGGCCCCGATGACAAGTGGGAAGTCAAGTCACGACGGTGTAAGAGAGCGTGAAGCCAGCGATCGCCGGGGAACGAGAAGCGGAGATTGCGCATCTACCCTTCTACACCTCCCGATCCTCAGCGACTCCGACGCTTTGGCCGGGACGGCTCGGGGGTGAAGGGCGAGGAGGTGGGAGGGGGGAACGCTGTAGTGTACTGCTGATGGCCCCGGAAGGGGGGGGCACAACGCTGTTTAGGCATGGTTGGGCTCGTCGGCTCTCCCATCCTGGAGGCCAGTGCTGGCGAAGTTTGGGAAGTCACACCTTCGGACGTAAAACGGTGCACGGACCAGAGGGACGGACAATTTCGAAGGAAGGACTGCTGGTTCGGCTGCCACGGGGCCCGTTCGCGGGTGCGGGTCCCTTCAGGGAGCTCCAGCAGGCGTGGCGCGGGAGGAGGGAGGGAACGGGATGGAGAGAGGCAGGGAAGGGGAAAGGTGTGGAGGGCCGAGAGAGGAGAAAGGCAAGCTGGGTGCGCTTTCGCCATATCTGACATCCTACCCCCTCCCACCCATCCCTTCCCATTGTGTTGATTTTCCGACGGGTGTCATAGAAGACATGGAATACCCCAAAGGGCCCATCGTGCTATGCGCAATCAGACAGGGGGAGCTGTGGGCATTGGAGGAGGAGGAGGTGGTGGCGGATGGGCAAGAGGATGAGTAGGAGGAAGAGGATGAGGAAGGAGGATGATGAGGAGAAGCAACAGCAGCAGGAGCAGACGTACGAGGAGCGGAAGGAGCAGGAGGACCAGGGGAAGGCGAAGGAAGGAGCAGGGCGACAACGACAAGGAAAGGTTCGATCCAAAATTCTGGCCCGCGCTGGGGCGAGAGAACAATTCTTAACGACGGAATCAACTATTCGATCACAAAATGAGGCTGACGCTGCAGGGGCATCACCTTTCTGTAACACCGAGAAGGTTCCGATCGGGTGAATCACATGTCGAAAAACACGTGTGGGAATCCTGTACGACAGCAAGAACACATGCGGGCGAAAGGTGGCACCGCTCGGGCATGATCTGGTGAGAAAGCAAAATAGAACTCAGATGAGCTTGTTTGTTCTATTTCTAGTAACGGTCGTTACCCATGTGGGTGGGTGGGACCTGGGCAGTGGTAACGCTTGGGCGGGGTGGGGCACGAGGGGGCGGAGGGTGTGTTGCGATCGCCATAGCCATTCTCCGGGGGGAAGGGGTTTGGCTTGGGTGACGACCATTACTACGCGCCAGAGGATAAAAATCAGTATCTATTTCGTAAACGTGAATGGGGGTGGCGGGAGAAGAGGACATAATGCGATGGGAGAGGGAGGGAGGGAAGAGAAACAAAAATGAACGGGGGGGAGAGGAAAAAGGGAAGGCGTGTGGAGAAAGAATGGAATTATATTTTCTGACTTATCTGCGAACCCTTAGAGCCACTCAGAAAACGTACCCAAGACGAAGCACAACCACCGCGTGCTCGGAGCCAAAGCCCGTCGAACACGGCATGGCCACGCGACGCCCCATTGATTCGTCGCCACCCTGACGACTGGGGAATACTCTCGGCTACACGCAAGAGTGACCATAGGCAAGAGTGACCTTCAATGCACGGCCGAAGGGGGGGCCCTTTGGGGACACCGCCAGGCGCGCAAGCCGCTACTATCGCGTGGCACTCAGCCATCGGAGGGCGCTCGCGTGGGCCCGCACCAACACTCCAGCAAAAGGTTACTCTTACACGTCGGTCGGAAGAAGTAGGAACAAACATGAAGTGGAAAGGCGGATCAAGTAGATTGGGTTCGGACCTGTCCGAATAATAACAACACATACAACACATTTCGATAAGAATTGTGAATCCAAGAATACCTGCATTCAACAACTGGCATGTAAGTGTAGCCTGTGCAGCCGGACCTAGTCCAGAAGAACATCCCTCAAGAACATGAGACCCTCTGGCGGCCAAAACAAACAGAACATTTGAGGATGCCCTCCCCCAAAATGCACAAGAACATCCAACAAACAAAAATAACAATAGGATACTCTCCCCGAACCGGCCTCGATCTTATACCTCCGTCCGACAGGTCGGACCTAGGCCAGAAGAACAGCCTTCAAGAACATGAGACCGCTTGTCGCCCAGAACGAACAGACAAGACCATCCAACAAACACGACGAACAAAAAGGTACCATCCCCGAACCGACCTCGATCTTATACCTCGGTCCGACTGTACGAGGCAAGTCCTGGGAGGTGTGTGAGAACGTTTAGCGCCATTCAGCCCGATGAACGGGACATCGACGCGAACAATGCTAAATTCATCTTATGATGTAGCTGGGTTGAACGGGCGAGCGCCGGCTTAGGCAGGTTCCCGACCACGGATATACCAGTGCCGATGCAGAATTTAGCCTGCGAGGCGTTGTATCCTAACAAGACCCAATGTTGCTTCGGAAGGGGCTCGATGTGTCTTAAGCCTTTTCACGTGCTTTCCTCTGGCACCCCTAGCACGTCTGGTCGCAGCTGAGGCCCAGAATGGGGTTCGCTTCTTGTGGCCAAACTTTGACTGCGTCTGCAGGCGGAGGTCCCAGAAATGAGCAAACGAGTTGACTGCGTCTGGAAGCCCAGAAACGAGCCGCATCCCCGATCCTCGAACATCGCGAAGGGAGGACTAGACATCTGGCGCTCCAAATTTGTCGATGCGCGGGCCCCCAAATCTCTCGATCAACCCGATATCGTTCCGAATTACTATTTGGCGGACCCGAACCCGAAACCAGCCTTCAGGGGCCAGAATTGACGACAAGCCAGGCGCCTCGATCTTTTCGAGGCGTCGGATGTCTGAGGAAGACGTCGAGGAGGACGAGGGGTCGACTCATCTAGCGTTAGACAGCCTCCTAACCCCCAGGGGAGGTGAAGGAGAAGGTGAAGGAGGCGGAGGGGCAGGAGGAGGAGGAGGAAGATGAGGAGGAGGAGGAGAAAGGCTATCTTCACGGCGAGAAGTCATCTTGATTATTGCTGCTATTCTTGGTCCCCGCCTGCACCTTGCCGCCATTCATTGCCGACGATGTGTGCACGCTCCAGGGCAATGGGAAAAAGCAGAAGGGAGGGAGGGACGAGGAGGAGGTGGAGGCGGAGGAGGAGGAGGGGGAGAGGAGGAAGCAAGCCAAGCCCAGGGTGGCACCTCAATCGTGCACGTGGTGTACATGATCATGAGTCTGGCCTTCATGCGATAAAACATCCTCTCGCTGCTCTTTACGATTCGAATCGCTTTGCGAATTACACATCCAGAGTCTGGAGAATCTAGCGTGGGTGGGAAACCGATTGGGGCAACACGCAAATAACCAAGACCCCTGGCGGTTCAAAGGTACACGTGGAAAGCATCTCTGATGACATACGCACGTCTGTGAGGAAGAAGAGGGTGTCGGGAAAGAGGGATGCAGGGGAGAAGGGGAGAAGGAGCGATCCCCAAACGACCCCTCATGACTGCCTTGAACCCCTCGCCCCCCAAAAGGAGGACACGAAAGGGGCCCGCCTTGGTGCCCGAGGCGTCCGCCCCCAGCGCCCCCAGCCGGTCGCGGAGCTCGGGGACCCGCAACTGGCGCGCCTGCCGGCCCCCCTTCTTCTTTTGCTGCTGTTCGGGGAGGAATTCGTCGGGACGGAGAGAGGAGGAGGAGGAGGAGGGAGGAGGCACGATAAAGAGGAGAACGGTGGGCAAGGTGTAAGGAGGAGGGGGGGATGAGAAGAGCATAAGATCGGCGGCTCGCCCTTGGAGCAAGTGCGAGGGATGCAGGCCGTCTCACTGGGCGGCTGGGCTTCTCAGGAGCCCTCCAGTCTTGTGAGAGGCCATCTGTGGCTTCGGGGAGGGCTTAGAACGCTTCTCAGAAGGCGGGAGCCCTTCCGAGCCTGAGAAGGCCCACCCACCACCATCTGCCTTCCCCCCCTGGGCGCCATGGAGGAGAAGGCTGGAGGAGGAGGAGGAGGAGGAGGAGGAGGAGGAGGAGGAGGAGGGAGGAGGAGGAGGGAGGAGCAGGACGGATTTGTTTCACCAGCGCTGCGGCCCAGAGAAAAGGGAGCCACTGTGACTCTAGCCAACTCGTGGTGCTTACCCTTCAGAAGGTTGTTGCACGCACAGGAGGCTGAATTGGAGCCATGGACAATCAAACAACGCCTGCGCAGACTCCGACATGGAAACACAAATGCTTGAACGCCCTGCCCCATCACCCTGATCTGAGTGTTGTTACCATTCACCGCTTGTGTGTGACGCGTATCCGTCACAGTGGATCCTCGAATCCATCTTCTGCCCACGCTGACAGCACCAACCACAATACAGTCACCGTGCTACCATAAGGAAGGACGCGAAAGATGGAACGAACGGACTTGTCTGGACACAGCCGAGGCTTGGCCACGAACAGGTTCCCTGACCAAGATAAAAACGACGCAGCGAACTCCCTCGGGAACGCAGACCCCGGCCACTGCAAAGCTGGGTCAGTCGGGCCTTGCAGGATCTTGTAAATCCTGCAGGGTCCTGCGCGCTAGCCTGGGCCAATGCAAGCATGGCTTTGCAGGATCCTGCAAGATCTGGCGCTCTGGCTGACCCCCGTTTGCATGAACCCCGTCTCAAGGCTCCCGAGCGAAAGCTACAGTCAAAACTGATCAGCCATGATGCGCGATGGGGATGCGAACACCTTTGACGCCCAGGTGGAAGATTTTGGAGCGGGGATTGCCGTCGAAAATTGTTTCCATCGATGGACCGAAGAATCAAGGAGGCAGGAGTACCCTTGGGAAAATTCCTCATGCTTGCACCATCGATTTAGACTGTAAATCAAAAGAATGGCGCGAACTCCCGCTTGTCGTCTCCGGTGCGCACCAGGCGCGCCCAAGGCGCTCCCGGCCCCCTCCCTCCGATCCTCGGCCTCGCCGAGGGTGGGCCGCGCCGCCTCCGCCCGCCGGTCGCTGGCCGCCTCCTCGCAACGGGGGTGGGGTCATAGGGGCTGGTGGGAGGGGAGGATCCTTCTCCTCCCTCCTCCTCCTCCTCCTCCTCCTCCTCCTGCTCCTCCTCCCACTCCTCCTCCTCGAGCGCCGGCTGAGACAACAGCGGCCCTCCCGCCCGCCGGGCCCAAATCCGCACGAGATCGGCCCCAGGACTCCCCCCCCAAGGTCCCAGGGCTGAACCTAAGCCGTGTTTTTCGTTTTCGTTTTGTTTTCATTTTCCCTCGTTTTGTCTTCAGTCCACCTCTACCGCAAAACGAAGTCGAAACGAAATTGGCCCACGAAATCGCCAAAACACCGTTTATTGCATTGTCCATCCCGAACCGCTGCTGGGAGCGGATCCCAGCCGTGGCGACGGAGGGGACCCTGCCGCCGCTGTCTCGACGGGCACCCCTCCGACCAGTGAGTCACGGCGCAGCTGCGGGCAACCACCTGGGACCCTGAAGACCTTCGAGAAGCTCCGAACACCGCTGAAAACCTTCGAAACTTTTGCCCCTGAGCACCCCATCCAAAACACAATCACAAGCCGTCGAAAACCAGAGAAAGCAGTCGAATGCCTCCGAGATCCCCCGAAGTCCGAAATGTCCCTGACCTTTTCTGGACGCCCGAAAGGGGTATGGGAAAACTTGATACGGTACCGAACCATAAATGTTGTCCAACACCGACGGCGGACGCCGTTGGGCAGGCGATTGTTTGTCTCAAATGGACAACGCCAGTGGCGACGCCGACAGCGAGTCCTGTCCAGAATGGACGAGAACTGCTGCCAAGGTTCGATCCCATTGTTTTGTATCTATTTGGATCGTATCGGACCCTTGAGGGGAAACAACAAGGGGGGGCATGGCATTGAGAGGACACATCGAGCTGGAATCGGCGACACATCGTCGACGGGTCGGCGATAAGCCCTCACGTTCCTTGGCGGGGTAGGGCTATCGGGCCCCTGTCATCGATGATTGGACGAATGAAGAGGAACAGCAAAAGGCATTGACATAAAATGTTGGCAGTCTGCGCGGAGAACTTAGGCCCCGTTCCTGGCGCGCAGAGCGCGCCAGGGGCGGCGCTTGAGGCGCCGCCAGGGGGGTCCAGCGCAGATCCATGAAATCCCCGCGGACCGTCCAAAATTTATTTTCATGCTGTCTTTGTTCTTCGAGATTGAAGGTTGATGCATAACCCCCTACAACCGGACCTAGGACAACAGAACATCCGTCAAGAACATGAGACAGACCCTCCGCCGGCCCAAACGTCATAACCTTCGAGGGTGCCCTCCCGAAGGATGCACGAGAACATCCAACAGACAAACAAGAAGGACAACAAGGTACCCTCCCCGAACCGACCCAGATCATATAACTCGGTCCGACTACATGCGGCGGGGGGTCCTCGGAGCCGCCGCCGGTCGCGGCCGCGGCCCACGCGCCGGGCGCCGGGCGCGACCAGGCGGAGCCGTCGTCCCAGAGCAGCCGCCCTCGTCGCGGGCTCGGCAGGAACAGTCAGCATCGAATCGGAAGTCGGATGGAATCGGGACGTGTAACTGCGAGGCGGGGATCTATCCATGTCCACCGCCTGGGAGCCGACGACCTGGTGCCCCAATGGGCGGCGGATATGGATATAGTCCGGCCCCAGGGGCCCGAATATATTCATATACACCGCCTGTGGAGGACTGCGAGGATCGACCCCCCAGGGGGTTACCCATCGGTCGGAAGGAGTAGGCAGAGGCGTGAAATAGGAAGGCGTTGAAAGTAGGTTCAAGTCGGCCCTGTCCTCTTACAGGGGGATTCTGGACGACAAATAAAAAATACCCCCAAATGGTCTAAAAATACAAAATCGTCCCCAGACTATTTCATTCACTATTTTTGAATATTCCACCTGTAGAGGGACAAGCCCGACTTAAAAGTAGATTGCATCTCCGCCCGCCCCCAAAGAAGGACGGAAAAAGTGAGGCCACTCGATCATTAAGTAGGAAGGCGCTCAAGGCAGGTTGGAGTCCGGGAATCCAGAAATGCCTACTTTCAACGACCCGTGGGTATCCCCTGCCTGTGGAGGTCCGCGAAGATCGACCCCCCAAGGGGGTTCTCATGGGCACATCCCCGCCTCGGAATGTCGAATCGGGCCGCGTCGGCTCGGCGTCGGAATCGAATCGGAGCGGCCGCGCCAGGAGGCACAATAGCGCCATGCAAGCATCGGGCCGCATCGGATCGTCGGTGGGGGGCGCGCCGAGGGGAGAAGCATCCCAGACTCGGTGGGGGGGCACAACGGTGGGGTTAGGGCAAAGGTGGGGTTGGAAGATCGCTCCGAACTGCCCCTGGAAGAAGGAGCTGGGCCCGTTCCCCAGCCCCACCTTGGGATAACCCTCCCCCTACGAACCCCCCACGGACATGCTCGCGTCGTGGAAGAAAGCCGGGAAGCTTCTGGCCGTATTCGGCCTCCGGGGGCCCTCGCCGGGCCTCGGGGCCGTCAGAGAACTGCTCAGGATGAAGAGAAAGCCCTGGGGAAAGGGTCAGGACTTCCAGGGACCACGCATTGAAAAAGTCAAGACGCTGCATGTCTGGGAAGAGAGCAATTACTTCCAGAGGGCTCAGAAGGCCTCCCAGTCTTCTGGGAGGCTCTCGGAGCCCTCCCCAGGGCCACACGGGGGCCTCTCAACAGCCTTGTGGCCCTTTGAGAAGCCCCGCCGCCTCCTGAGAAGACCTGCCCCCTCTCGCTTCCCCCCTCGGCGCGCCGCCGAGAGGGGGGGAAGGCATGGGGGAGGATCGGCGAGGAGGCGGCGACCATGTGGCGGTCTGGATAATTCAAACTGTTGAGGTGCCGCGCGAGGGAAGAGTTGTCAGAGGATGTGGGAGGGAAAATGCGGGGGAGACAGGGCCACGGAAAGAGTGAGTAGGGTGGCGGAGAAGGAGGAGAGCGGAGGGTATGTGGGGGCTTCAGGCGATTCGTCTGGTTCGAGTGGGTTCGAAAGAATTCAGAAGGTTCTTGGAGGACGGGTGGTAGATTATGAGGATCGGGAAAATCAGAGGTGGAGGATGTAGGAGGACGGATGGATATGAGGAGGATGAGTGGGGTGAAGTGAAGGAAGCTGAAAAGTAAAAAGAAAAAGGAGAAGGGATCCTCCCTCCTGCCTCTGGCCTGTCGCAGTTGTCCTTCCTCTTCTCCGCATCCCTTTCCTTTCCTCCACTCCTCCGCCTCATCCTCGTCCTCGTCCTCCTTCACTCCTTCCCCTCCCCTCTGGACTCCGTCCTCCCCGCTCCCGTATCACTCGTCCTCGCCCTCGCTCTCCTGCTCAGTGGTGGTGGTGGTGCTTGTCACTGTCCTGGCCATCGCTCTCTCACTGACTGTCTGGATCGTCGTCGTCTTCCTCCTGATCCTCCCCCTATCCTCTTCCCTCGCATCCGAGAGGGCCTCCTCCACCTCCCTCCTCCTACCCCTTCTTAGGCAAACTGTTGGGTCTCAGGGCCTCCTGCCCCTCGTCCTCTTCCTCCTCCTGCTGTCTGGTGGAGGGCCTCTCCGAGAGACCCCGTGCGCGAAACGAAAGAGCAAGGCGGGCCAAGGAGCTTGCCTTGGCCACCCCACCTCGTGCCCCGTGCCGCGCGCAGCAGCACGAGCACCTCCGCTCGGGGATGGACAGACCCCCCTTTAGTAAAACGTGGTTCAGTGAAAACGACCTGAGGCACAAATCTGGCGGGCGCCAGCCTGGAGAACAACGGCCGCGGCGCCATCTCAAGAACCGAAAACGGACAATTCACTGATCGACGTGTCACTGTTGGGGGTTCTGTCCACCCCCGATCCGCGCGCTCTCGCGCGGCCGCTCCGGAGAGAAGGGCCGCTTACTCTCTGGCCCAGGCCACGAGGCGCGATGATGCTCGCGCCCACATGGGTGACAGCCAAAACATGCCAGAGTGAGGGGGCCCAACGGTGATTCACTGTCCAAGGGTGCGTGGCTGAAGTGGGGTTCCGCGGTGCGGATTGTTGAACATTATTACTTCTAAAGAATAATTATTGTTGGGCCCCCTGGTGCACGCCCCCCCCGCCGCGCCTAGGCCGCAGCCGCATTTTCATCATTTTCGTGAGGAACCCTCAGGTAAAACGATGTGATCCAGATCCGGCTGTTTTGTTGTAATCCGTTTTCCCTTGCAAAAAACACTATAAAATGACATTTCTTGTTCTAATATAATCAAATTTCAAGAATCCCTTGCAAAAAATAAGGTAAAGTGGACATTCGCGCGCGCAAGACGAAATCCTTCCAAAAGCTTAGTGTTCGGAGCGATTTTAACATAAAAACATCAAAAAACCAATGGTTTTTCAACAAAAAAATGTCAAAATCTCATCCCGCGCGCTCTTGCGGATTCGTAGGAAACCCAACACTTTTTAAACATTTCTGTCAAACGGGCTTTTGCGAGCAACTTTTTCGAACTTCTGCGACAACGGTTGCGCACCTGCCAGGGCCATCATCCCTGTCAAATAATACCATGCGGGACACATTCGTTTTTTCTTCGCGCGCGCACGCCGTCGTCGTCGGCCGCGGGGCCCTGAATAGTAGCCACGGTCGTCCGCATGCCACGAAGTGAAGTGTCCGAACGTCATAGGGCGGGAAGCTGGGTGTGGGTGGTGGCGAAGAGTCGTTTGGAAATTTGGTAGAGCTTGAACCGGCCCCCCCACAAAGTGGGGGTATTGCCCGCCTCCTATGAAAACCCTGGCACTGGTGAGAACGGAGTGTCCCCAGTCTTAAATGATTGTTGATGTTGTTGTTGTCGTTGTCGTTGTCGTTGTCGATGTTGATGTTGATGCTGTTGTTGTTCTTGCTGCTGCTGCTGTTGTCATTGTCATCGTCGCTGTTGTTGTTGAACTCTCATTTCTGAAGATTAATTATTGTTGATCCCCCCTCACCGGTGCATACTGTTCCTTCTCAATCAAAGTGTGCCCCTCGACGCTCGCACCCTGTTTTTTGACAGGGAAAATCTTGGTTGTCAAACTGGGTCCCTGGCCCCACGGACTACAACAACAACGGCTCCCGCCTGAGACTTCCTCCAAATTTACTCAAGACCCCCCCTCTCGTCTGAGATTTCCTCCCAATTTACTCAGGAACGGCGCTCCCGCTTGAGACTTCCGCACAAATTAGTCCGGGTCAAGCTGCGTTGTTGCTCCCCTGGAGTACAACAACAAAGGCTCCCGCCTGAGACTTCCTCACAATTTATTGAATCGCGCTCTCGCTTTCAATTTACCACCCCCGCGACTCCCGCCTGAAACTTCCTGACACTGTATTATAAAATCGAATTATAGAATCGCGCTCTCGCTTGGGACTTCCTCGCAACTTACCACCGAACCGCTTCGCTTGATATTTCCTTACAATTTATCCAGATGCCGGTCCTCGACACTCAGGCATCGAGCCCCCGCTACATATTGCCTCGTGGTGCAAGCAAGACTCACGCTTCAACGACCCGGCCGCTCGACCCGCCCGTCGGGGCCTGCCCGCCCGACCAACCCGTTAATGACTGCAATCGCCGCTCGCTGCCCTTCGCCCGCCTTCGATGCCCCTCGCTGCCCGTACTGGTTCCGCGTTCGCCTTCGCTCGCTGCCCTTCGTGGCCCCGTTGCTCCCCTCAGTGGCCCCGTCGCTGCCCTTTGTGGCCCCGCATTATATGCCCTTCGTGGCCCCTGCTCGCACGCACCCGTCGTTGCCCCATACGCATGCCCTTCGTAGCCCCGCTGTCGCCCTTTGTGGCCCCCTCGCTGCCCTCAGTGGCCCCGCTGTCGCCCTTTGTGGCCCCGTATACGAATGCCCTTTGTGGCCCCCGCTCGCTCCCGTCGTGGCCCCATATGCATGCCCTTCGTGGCCCCGCTGTCGCCCTTTGTGGCCCCCTCGCTGCCCTTCGTGGCCCCGGTGCAGCCCTCAGCGGCCCCCTCGCTGTCCTCTGTGGCCTCGGATTTTATGCCCTTCGTGGCCCACGCTGGCTTTTCTCACGATTTACTTCGGAATCGGCGTTATCGCTCGAGACTTCTTCGCGATTCATGCATGACCCACGCTTCAGCAACCCGCCTGCTCGACCTCGTCGCTTGGGCCCGCCTTCCCGACCTGCCCGCTAAGGGTCTGCCCACCCGATCTGCCCATTTGATTATACCACTTGTTTTCTGCTCCTTGCCCCCCTCCTCATAATTTGTCTCGTGCTCCATTCTTCTCACTCCCCCTTTCACCCGTCCTCTCTTCCATTGTTTAAGGGGTTGCATTAAATACACGTGGCAGGTAAGGAAGAGATATCCCCCAAGGGGGTACGATCGAAGACGACGAGGGCGGGTACCGAGAGTTTGGGATATACGTATTGATTGGCACGTGAGCAGATAGGAGCGAACAAAATTAGCATGATTTGTGTTGTTGATGTTGTTGTTTGTGTGTTTGTGTTTGCTGGTGTTGCTGTTGTTGTTTGTGGTTTGTTATTGTTGTTGTTGTTGGTGGTGTTGTTGTTGCTGTTGTTATTGTTATTGTTGGTGTTATTGTTATTGTTATTGTTAGTGGTATTGTTATTGTTGTTGTTGTTGTTGTTGGTGTTGTTGTTGTTGTTGCTGTTGTTGTTTGTTGTTTGTTGTTTGTTGTTTGTTGTTTGTTGTTTGTTGTTTGTCGTCGTCCCCCTCACGACCTGGCCAGCGACCCGCCCACGACCCTCTCGCGACCCGCCCGCGACCCACCCACGATCCACCCCGCGACCCACCCGCGACCCACCCCGCGCCCGCCCCCTGACTCTTATCCGCTTCTGCGGGGTGCAATATATTAAGGACGGACGGTAAGGGGATGCTAAGGGCGCAAGACCCTTGGAGGCCGAAGTCGGGATTTGTTGGGCGGCGGGCGACCAGTGAAAACGGCAAAGGACGGGGCGCAGAGGCAAGGACGCAAGGGTACCCCAGACGAAGGCGCGCGTCCTTACTGGGCGCGTTGACTGTACCCAACAAACGATGCACGGGAAGATGGTCCTACACCCCTCCGCGAAACCGAACTCCAATTTTTCCCGCGTTGCGTCGGCACCCCCAAGTCCCCAGGCCTCCACACTTCAGTTATGATGCCGAAGAACGCGACTTGATTTTTCCGTCGGTGTCCGCGGACCGCGCCGCGCGCGCAACGGGTGTGGAACTTGCGTTAAGTTTCGCGAAGGGCTGCAGTGCAGGAGGCGAGGACGACGAGGTTGGCGGTTGACCTCCAAGAACTCAGTCTTCATCGTATAACGTATACCCTCTGCCGAACAAATCTGATCCTCATGGTAAGGATCCCTCCGGCGTCCTTCGACCAAGCCCGCCCTGTACGAGACGTTCTGGAACGTCATGTTGTACTTTCCGTCTGATGGCTCCTGAGCCACGAGTCCGCTCTCGTCGGGAAGACTGCGAAAACAATCAGAATGGGCACGACAGAAAAAGTGCTGAATCCCACACCTTGCCCCCTAGCACGTCGAGACTTGGTAGAGTGCCAAATGCTGTCTGGCAACGTTTCTGTAATCCTCTAAAGGACCCCCCCTCCGGGCCGCACCTCGTCGCGCGCACCGCCCCCTCTTCCCGAGGCTCTGTCGGCGCCCAGACACGTCCCTGGCGGTCCCCAAGGCGTCAAAAATTCCCACGATGGCTTACTCGGTGGACCTGGGAGGCCACCAAGGCCGCCAAAATGGTCAATATTCACCGCCTAAGAGACCACAAGAAGCCCCGAGAGTGCTCCAAGAGGACCCCCACGAGGGCCCCAAGAGACAAACATCAAGGATGTTCACTTGGTTTGTCTATGTTTTTCATGTTACCCCTTTGCAAGCTTCCGACGCCCAAGGCGGCCCCAAGGGCCCCCAAGACAGCCCCAAGACGGCCCAAGAAGCCAAAAGAACCCCAAGACGGTCCCAAGCCCCAGACGGGGAATACGAACCGATAATTCCGGCCTTCCGCCCGAAGATGCCCCCAGGAGGCTTCAAGAAAGAGGCCTCCAAGGAGCCCCAAGAGGCCCGCAAGAGGCCTCCCAGAGGCCGCAAGACGGCCCACAAGAGGCCTCGAAACTGCCTCCAACAAATCCCCGAGAGGGCTCCAACGATATCCCAACGATTATCCTCCTCCGCCTCCGCATCCCCCTCCTCCTCCTCCTCCTCCTCCTCCTCATCATCATCATCATCGTCATCATCAGCAGCAGCAACATCAGCAGCAGTATCCGCATCAGCATAATCGTCAGCATGACGATGACGATGGCGATGGCGATGACGATGACGATGATGAGGAGGAGGAAGAGGGTGATGATGATGTTGATTATGCTGCTGATGATGATGATGATGATGATGGTGCTGATGATGAGTCTGATGATGATATTGATAGTGAGTATGATGATTATGATGTTGCTGATGATGATGATGGTTATGGTGGTGATAATGCTGGTGGTGATGATGATGATGCTGATGATGATGATGATGAGCATTATCATCATCATCATCATCATCATCATCATCATCATCATCAGTATCATCAACATCATAATCACCATGGTATCATCATGGCCATCCCGCACAAGTACGGCCTCTGGTGCCCCCTTGAAGGAGAGCCGAGGAGCATGCTGGGCTGGCACGGTGGCGGGACTTGCCGCAAGCAACTGGATATCCGATGGCATATCCGTATTCCCATGCGCCGCGAAGGCTTTCTGAATGCTCCAGACTCGATGCGTGGAACCGCGATGTGACACCTTGGCTCTTGGCATCAATATTCCCAGTCGTGTGGACATGAAACTCCTTTCCCGCCTCGGCTCATTACAAAATGGACAAGCACACGCCTGCCGAACTCGCTGGCAAGAACACACATGGCACTAATGGAAATGGGTCCAGGACCCCGGGAGCGGTTCCCGGGATATCTTTTTTGCTTCGTCCCGGATCGTTGTTGACGGCCTTGGGCCTTTGGGGGGGAGGGCGAGTAGGCCGAAAACTGCGGAATACCTGCCCACCTGCAGGCAAGTTGGAACAAGTGTAAACTGGAACTCCCCGAAAAGTGGACGTGGCCAGGGCGGGAACAACTGGCAAAAGAAGAAAGGAGCCCGAGACAGTTGGGATAAGGTCGCCAAGTCTGGAAACTCTGGGGGGAAACGTGCCAGGGCTGAACAGAGTGAAGGGCTTCCCTGCACGAGTTGCTCGTGCCCGAGTCCAGCTGTATCATGGTCGAAGGTCCGTCCGAGGCCGACTCGCGATCCGGGCGGATGACGGTGCCGCCCTTCACGAGTATCCGCTCGCCGCGCGCCGACAACCAGCGCCCGGCGACGCCGACATCGGCCTGCTGCGCGGTGCACGAGGGGGGGAGAGAGCTGGGGGGAGGACAGAAATCTTGACGACGACCGAACGAGGCGGACCGGGGTTCCCCAGACGGTACGGTGACAGACCGTGCGCATGCCACCATGGATTACAGATCCGTGGGTTTGGCGCGTGGGCGAAGGATCGACGGATCGGGGAAAGCAGGACAGCACCCCCTCCCCTGAAACACGAGGCCCATTCCGCCTGATTCGGCGACGGAGCGTGCCGACTCTGCAGGGAACCCGTCGGCAACCCACGCGCATCAATCCATGTTTGCGCTTTCCCTCCTGGGGTCTGCGAACCGGGGCACGGTCGCCGTGTGCGCGAGCGCCTGGAGGTCCAGCGGAGCGGTGTCATATCCGCAAGCCAAGACTAGACCTCGCCGAACTGCGAAACTGAAACAACTTTCGTGGGCTCTTGCCTATCCCGCTTCCTCCTCACCCGAAGCCGCCTGGGCGCCGCCCTCTCTGCAACGCCACGCCGCCGCGGGCCGGTGTGCTGCAGGCCCCGAGGCAGGGGTCCCGCGAACCGCCCACTCTTGGCGCATGGCGACCGTGAGAACCGCGTGCCAAAGGAGACCGGCTGATTCATCCGATGACGACTCATCCGCTCCGACTCATCCGATCCGCGGCTGCCGTGAACCGCGACCGGATGAATCAGACCGGATGAATTAGTCACCGGATGAGTTAGCCCGGACGAATGAGCATCACCAGGTAAGTTAGCCCAGATTAGGCACCGGCTGAGGTAGGCATCAGAAGAGAGCCAAGCATCAGATAATATAGGAGTCGGATGAATGAGCACCAGATGAATTTGGTACCAAATAAATTTGGCACCGGATGAATTTGGCACCGGATGAATTTGGCACCGGATGAATTTGACAGCGGATGAGTTTGGCACCGGATTAATTAGGCACTGGATGAAGTTGGCCCCGGATGAGTTTGGCACCGGATAAATTTGGCACCGGATGAGTCTGGCACCGGATGAATTTGGCACCGGATAAATTTAGCACCGGATGAATTTGGCACCGGACCAGTTTGGCAGGGGATGAGTCTGGCACTGGATGTTTGGCGTTTCTCGTTATACAGTGAGATCTCGTTAGTTGGCGGGGGCGCCAGTGGGGTGATGTCAGAGATTCTTCGACAGACTCGTTTGAAGAGCTGCGCTGTCTAGAACAATGACTATCGTTTATCCGATCACCAATACCAAGCGGCGTGGCCTGGGCCCCACTCGCGGATGTACCCTCCTAGATGGGGATATAGGTCGTTCCCTTCGGGTTTCGAGGAGTGTATCCCCAACTGGGGTGGTGCTCTGGTGGGGGTCTCGAAGGGGGATGGGGATGGTGATCGGATAAAAGATACTGAAACCAGAAACCAACCTACGCATAAACTTTAGGAGGCTCGCGCGGAGATCTCGAATCGGCGCTGGGCCGCTCCCGGGCTGGGCCTGGCGCGCGACGGGCGGAGACAGCCCAGATCGGAGCCCAATGCCGACGCAAGAAATCCGCGAGGGCTTCCGCGAGTGTAGGTGTATGCGTGTTCATTATTGCCGATCGCTCTGCGTATGCCGCTGCTGCTCAGCATTCCTCGCTCTCCTGCCTGTTCCCAGTCGTCCTCTCCCCTCTTGTCCTCCTCCTCGTTTCCGTGATCTATCCTGCTCCTCGTCCTCCGCATCATCTCGTTCCCCTCCTCCCTCTTCATTTTATCCTCTTTGCCTTCCTCCTGCACGTCCTCCACTTTCTCCCCTCCCCCTTGTATTGCTTCTACTGAGAGGCGGGCTGGATGAGTTCGGCATTTGGAGTTAACGTACCGGATGAGTTAGTCAATTGCATGAATAGAGCACTGGATGAGCTAGACACTGGATGAGTTAGGCCTGGGTAAGTTTAGTGACGGACCGCATGAATTGGGCAACGGATGAGCTTGGCACTGGACGAACTTGGCATCGGATGAGTTTGGCACTGGATGAGTTTGGCATCGTATGAGTTAGCCACCGGATGAGCGAAGTCTGGGGAAGATGAATCAAACATCGGATAAGTCAATTTCACGGGTTCTTCTGGAAGGGTTTCTGGGGGGCATCCTGGGGCAGATTGGAGGTGACAATTCGCTTGACTACAAAACGGTTTCTCGTCAAGCAAATTTGAGTTGCTTTGATTTACGCAAGGGAAATGTTTGAAGCCGGCGTTGGGGGTCGGTGCCTCCAGAGGGTGTTCTGGAGAAATTATTGGGTGCATCCTGGGGCAGACAGGAAGTGATCATCTTGCTTGACTGCAAAAAGGTTCATAACTAAGCAACCTTTGACTTTCTTCCCAATTATGTTTTGACGTTTTCAAGAATATCGGAAGAGTATGTAAGGGTACCAGGCGAGTTTGGACAGCGGACTCTGGATGAGTTACCATATCCGTCTTATTTGTTGTGGAACCCATCTCCGTTCACACGGTGCAGCATCAGCGATCCAAACTCGGGAAATCCCGCGCGCAGCGCTTTTGATATACCACAGTGCTCCGCCACGGAGCGTAGGCTTGGAAAGTTGCTGGGTGCCAGACTTGTGAGGTACGTGAGCCTTAACCTTTCGAGAGGGAGCAAGGAGTGCAGGGTGGGGGAGAAAGAACACTACGGAGAGAGCAGACCCTTTCAACTCAAATGAACCCCGTGCCAGCATACCTATCATTTCCGTCTTATTTGTTTTTGAACCATCTCTGTTCACACGGTGCAGCATCAACGATCCAAACTCGTGAAACCCGCGCGCAGCGCTCTTGATATACAACAGTGCTCCAGAATTCGCAAGTATAACGATGTGGCACAGGGAGGGCGGGTCGGGGAAATTGAAGGGGAGCGCAAGACATCGGGATCACGAGCGAACAAGGCCAGATCGCACACGGAGCCAATCTCGTTGCTTTTCAAGCTCCTTAGTGAAGGCAGTATAAACGAACAAGGTCGCCATCTTCGTGGCCAAGCGTCTAAGATGCGCGGCTGCCCGTCGAGCCCACTTGACTCCTGACGGGTCAGCGCCGGGGAGAATGATATGCGGCTGCTTAGAGAAACTGCATAGCGCCGGCGGACGGCTATGGCACGCACGAGCGATCGACGAGATGTTGGAGGGGTCGAAACTCATAACCGAGGTTGCCTTGCGCCACCGAGCACCATTTCCACACATACGAAAGGTATAGAAACCAACCTCTGGCTTGGCAAGAAACTGTTTTATTTCTGGAACTTACCAAAGGAGACTGGTCTGCGGGTTTTCTAACATGAACGGCGCGCCGAACTGCGTTGACAGTTTACATCGAAGGACACTTTGACGAACGAGATAATTAACTTGTTCAAGTTTAAGACGACCACGTTCACAACAATTGGGACCGCCGTATACATGCTCTCGGGTACGAATGGCGGGCCGTCTGGCAATGCTAAACGTCGTGCAAGGAGGCGCCAGGAGTGCACCGAAACACTGAGGGCTTTTGATGAGAGACCGAATCCTCCCCTGGACGTCTTTTTCGAAACAGATCTCCCCCAGGCCCTTGAAGCACGTCCAAACTGAAACACTTGCAGCCCTGGCGGCAAACGGCCTCGGTGAAGTCGCCCTGGCCACTGAAAACTTCAGTGCGAAAAAGCACGCATCTTCTGTCGGGCGCTCTGGCGCGGTGGAGCTGGCCCACGCGCCTCTCGAGCTCGGCCAACAACGACTTCTCGCTGGCGCACGCCGGCCCCGAGGCTGTTGAAGACCTCCTGGACCAGGGCCCGCTTCTCGTACCGCCTGACACTGGCGGTGGAAGGCCATCGCCCCCTCTTCTGCACCTCGGACAGGCTCACCCTGTTCTCTAGGTGGTCGAGGGACACCCCGGTGCGTCGCCCATGTAGAGCACGGGGCTCCACTGCTGCAACTCCAGCTCGAGGCCAACGTCGAGGAACTTCTCGCGCATCCTGATGAGGTCGAAGTTCCAGAGGGAGCCCTGCGTGGGCCGCGTCTCGGAGTAGTCCACCAACAGCTGGGCGAGCCACTGCCCGTTTAACTGCAGGCCCCCGCCCACGGCCCCTGCCTTGCTGCGGGGCCCCGTCCTCCGCAAGATGAAATCAAATGGTCAGGCTGGTCATGCGATCCTGAGTCGTCAGCTTCAGCAGCTGGTTCGGGCGCAGGGACAGGCGCTCTGCGGGGCAAAGGTAGGCGTCCACCTTCAGCAGCCAGCACAGGGCGTAATCCACCCCGTGCTTTCGCATCAGGCCGGTCGCGTTCCCCGCCACCGCGCGCCATGGGAGCGGCCTCCGCGCGCGGCCTGGTACCAACCGTCGCCATCCGCGAAGTGCTCGCGCAGTCCGAGGGAGCACAGCCTCTCCCCGATTGCCGTGCGCGGGCACGTGGTGCTGCACCGCCGCCGGCAGCTTCTCGCCAGAGCCCGCAGCCTTCCCCTCCAGAAACATCCTGTCCACGTGATGCACAATCATCGCATCCAGCACGGGCGGCGCGACATCCAAGTCCGTCAGGCCCTCCGCCAGCAAGAACTTGTCGATGTAGTTCGCGCGCTGGGCTCGCGCCCGGGGCTGCAGCGAAGCTGGCACCAGGATCCCGCGCTGATGGGTGGTGTCCTAAAGCTCGCCATGCTTCTTCAGACGGCAGGCCGCCTTGGCCAGGCGCTCGTCCTCGATCTCGTTCAGGCTGAGGTCGGCGGCCCGCTCGAGCCGCCCCAGAATGGGGCGCCCCCTGCCGGCGCCCGGCGCAACGGCCAGGATCGCCGCGGACGCCTTCAGGTCCTCGGATGGCGCAGCTTGCCTTGCTCCAGTCGTCGGCCGCGCTCGAGGGGCCAGAAGGGGCCTCTCCCGACACGCTATCACACTCTGGCTCCCTCGTCTCAGATGACTCCGAGTCGCAATCTCTTCCTGGGGGTTCAGTCGACGGATGTGGGTCAGAAATCTCGTGAGGTGCCGAGCGCCCGCAGCTGCCCAAATCGCGCGTCGCCTCGCGCCTCCTGGACGGCTCATCCGCCGGGTCGACTTCCGA